TCTATCTAGAACGAGTTAGGATCAGGAAACGTGAAGGATCATTAACAGTTGCCTGCAGCTGGCTTTGTCTTTTTAACTCAGATTGTCTCTCGTCCCATCTGTTTTTGGCTCACTCTTCACCTTTTATAACTCATTTATTCACTTGTTTTCAGTTTGAATGACATTTAAAGTTCAAGGAGATTCCCCGTGAAACGTTTTTAACCGTTTGTTAAGTTTGTAACCAACCAATTTTAAATACTTAAGATTTCAATATTGCCCAAAATAACAGTAATTATGTTTTTTTCCCCCATAACATGGCATCTCTACTGTATCCCTTACTCACCAGTCACAGACAAAGTTTGTAAAGGCAGCGTAAAGTTGTATTTGCTCTTCGAGCCTCGCGGCATCCTTCCCGACTTCGTCAAGAACCGCTGGTAAGTCCTTCACCAGAGCCTGAAGCTCTCGAGGCACATTTTCACCCTGTAAGAAGCAAATAAGTCAATCAAAGGCTCAGAAATCCTCACATAGCACACAATTGTTAAAGCTTTTCCACCAGCTTCCTGTCAAGTTTAGATTTGAGTTTAAAATCTTTGTTCTTACATTTATGGCCTTACAGGGTGCGGCCCCCGCCTAAGGTTACTGCTTTCTGTTCACATTCGCATCAATCAGTTAATAAAATGCGTAACTCTGAGTGTTTGTGTCTGAATATTCTCCTAGAGGTGTGCACGTTTTTGCACTTACTGTGATGCCATACTGTTTGCAGGCAGCGTAGTAGCGTTCCCTCAGGTCTGCAGCTGAGCTCTGGCACTCCACCTCCCGCCTGCTCAGCTCCTGCTGCAGCTGCTGAGCTTTGGCCAGCTGCCTCCTCAGAGCCGGGCCTTCGTAGCTCACGTTGCGGCTCAGCAAGCTGGCCAACTCCACTGGGATGCACAAACACATTTTTTAGCATTCAGCACATGCAATTATTTTGTTTCTTCAGCTGGATTTTGTGGTCGATATCCTAAGCTCCTAAGCTACACAAATGCTGCAACAAAATTAACACTTCATAACCTTCCTGCTTTAAAAGAGGGAGCCTACAGGTATAAGCAACTTAAATCTTAGACTTCAGGAACTTTAAAATATCTTAAATTTAGTCTATCTTAGACTAAATTTAAGGGCTGGAAAAATACACCAAAAACCACAGACTGTATAACAGATACAGCATAGCTTTAAGATCTAAAGCAGCTATGGGAAGTGCTTTAATGCTGCATTCTTTCCATCCAGCAGGGGGCGACTCCTCTACAGCCACCAATTACATACAGTCTATGGCGAAAATACACTTTTTTAAAGTAAAGTTAAAAATAATCACCAAGACAAAATATAAGGTGGTTCATGTTGCTAGATGTCAGTTTTAGCTGCTAATTTAAAGTTTTCTAACCATAGTGAAGTGACTTCTATATTCCTCTACATCAGCTGAATTTGATATTCACGTGTTAGACTTTGTACATCCACGAGGCCCTACTTGGGAAACTTGATCATTAGAAGGTGTACATAGAGCTCTAAAATTTACTGTGACGTGCAAGCTTCACAAAGAAGTTCTCTTGGACTTGCTTTGTGCTGCTATATAAGCAATCTGTACATGGAAAGTTTTACATTTTAGTCCCCAACACCGGATGATTAAACTGTTTTTCTGTTAAGGCAGCAGAGTTGTGACATTTCTGACCACAGAACATCAGAAAACGTGGTTGAAAGAGTCGCAGTTCTGCAGACAGCAAGCTGTGTGAAAATAAACTTAACATGGTTGAAATTTATTTGCACTAAAGAATGCTTTTATATTTACTGATTCGGTTCATCTGTCTAAAAACTACAGATGAAAGTGAGCTTTTAGGTCAAATATATGCCTTGTTTATTGTCCCTGCAAAATAAACAAGCTAAATAAATAAAAATAGATAATATGAGATAAAGTGACAACAAACGGTCTCATAAGCACTTTGTGTAAACAAGTAGACTGGTCTTCTTTGCCTTTTCCACCAGTATGTTACAAGGTCAGCATCCAACTGGGCCTAAACCAATTTCCCACCTGGACCCAAGTACAGGGGTCCCTATATTTAAGACATTCTTTTAGGCTTAAGCTACAATAATTAGGTTAACCAGTATACATTATCTCATTGCTAACTGGTTTAAAGCATATTAAACAGCATGAAAGTCTTAGCTGAACTATAAAGCATTAACACATATTTGTACACAGTCGCATTTCACGACCTAAATGTTCAAATGGGACAAAAATAGCAGCACTGAGAGATG